GTTGCATTGCTATCTCAGTTTATTTGCCTCAAACAAATTTTTTAATTTAAAATTTTTTTAATTTAAAAAATTAAAGTAAAAAAACACAAATCAACAAAGTTTTAAAATAACGAGGCATATTATAGTATAGTAACACTTGGAAAGGTTGTTTTTCCTGTGCCTTTACAATATATCTTATTTCCTCTTAATGTCTTAAAGTCAAAATATTTTAAATTGACTTTTTGAATTATTAATATAAATGAACCATCAAGGTATGTTCTCTCATATGTGAGACATTTAAGGATAATACTCCTGATTCAGTATTTACTCTGTACATAACACAGGAATATATTTAAATTATTTAACTGTCTATAAAACTGACAGAGCCTGAAGAAAATCTCCAGAGATAAATGATAGTAATTAGAAACTAAAAACACAGTATTACCCAGAGAATTTATGCACACAACTAAGAAGCAAATCTACAAAAGTCTTCAAGAGAACAAAATCTTCAAGAAGGGAAAACTCCTGCCCAACTGGCCAACAGAGCCAGACAGCAACAGCCTGCCAAAGGGATCTTATTTAATGCAAGTCACTAACTAGACTCGTAAAGTGAACACCAAAAAGTCAGTGTTCCCATTCCTCCAATTTGAGTTTCAGGAGGGTCCCTTCCAAAGAGATTCACAACCAACACCACATTCCAAGAATTCTTCCCCGTTACCTGCTTGTCAAAAGAGGATAAGCAACACCAAACAAACTGCAAAATAGACTCCACTTATGAGTCTGATAATTCCTGTAAACTCAAGTTAGTTATTTCACCTGAGGCACATGTTTAACTGTGACTCCTGGTTTCTGGGGAGAACATTTTTCACTCAGTCTCCCTATCCTAGAGTGCTAGGTGAACCTCCCCAAAGCCTCCTGATCCTAACACAGACAACTCGATGACCCAAATGTATACCCTATCTCACTGTTAAAGCCTTAAAGCACTGACAAATCCAGGCCAAGGAGACTACAAAGGGGCAGAGAGATACTACCAGGCAGGCAGGAAGGTTGGGGTGGGCCCAGACAGGGAAGTACATGGCCACCAGCTGTGGAAAAAAGAGGATGAGAAAGTGAGAGGCTGGGGTGAGTTTGGTCAGAGAAGCGGCAAGGGACTGACGGGTGCAGGACTCCTTATCACCCTGGACATCATGGGAAGATTGTACTGGGCTTTCTTTGCAGAGAGGGAGGAACGAGGCTCCCAGAGCGAGTGATGTAGAGAGGCTTCCTGGGAAGCACAAGGACTGGACTCTGAAGGAAGCAAAAGGCAACAGGAAACCCCGAGAACAGATTCTGGTGAAGATTCCCCCAGGACGAGTGATCTCTACGGTCGTTCCCAGCCCCAAGACCGGTGGAACCATCACACCTGTTAAAGGATGTTTCCCTGTTATCCGCTTGGATAGCGATCAAGTGCGAGTCCACCGGGTGGGCGTGAAAGCAAACTTGAGTAGGAAAAAACTAATAGGGGGTCTGACCCAGAAGGAAACCTGATCAGGAGAAGAGGCTCAATTCGGGAAGGAGCTAGCAGGGAAGTACCTGGGTGAGATGAGACTTTCCTGGACGAGAGGCGCCTGGAGGAAACTGCTGGGGAAAGCAGGGCTTTCGTTGAACTCCAGGGGGAAAAGGCCGGTTTAGACAGGAAAGAGGGGGCCCTGAGCGTCTGGCTCGGGAGGGTGACTCTAACCGGGGGAAGCGCGCTGCCCGGCCCGGAGGGCGAGCCTCGTGCGGGGCGAGGGCTGACCGGCGGGTGAGGCTGCTCCGCGCGAGCTCCACAGCTCACCTGGGGTGCGGGCCTGGGATCAGGAAACTTCCTGGGTGGGGGAAAACTAAGTGGAGCGGAGCGGGGACCCCGGGGCACGCGGCACTCAGCTGTGGGGCGCAAGGGCCGGGGGCGCCCCCGACCCGGGCGGGGTCGCGGCTGCCGCGGCGCAGCTGCCGGCTCGGGATGGCGCCCTCCCTCAGTCACACGCACGCTCTCGCTCTCACTACCGGCCGCCCCGCCCGGGCCGAGAGAACCCGCTCGGGTCGGTGAACCGCAGGCGGTGGGGGAGGGGGCCGGGCCGGGGACAGCGGCCGAGCGAGCCCGGCGGGCGGGCGGGCGGCGTTACCTGTGTCAGGGAGAGCTGGGCCGCCGCAGCCATGGTGTTTCCATCATGCACGGCAGGGGAAGGAAGGACGGGCGGACGGGGGCTCGGGGCGGGGAGGAGGCGGAGGGAGCGGCCGGAGGCGAGGCCCGGGCGAGCGGGCGGGCGTCTCCCCTAACTTCGACAACTTCCCTCCTCTCGCCCGCCCCGCCTCGCCCCTCCTGGCCCCGCCCGCCCGGCGCAGGCCGCGGCGGCGCCCAAATTCTGGCGCCGGCGTTTCCGCCGCCGGACCGGAGCTTGTCCCCTGGGGCAGCCTGGGAAAACCCGGCGCGGAAGTCAAATTAGGGCGGACTGGCTGCGGAGGCGGAGGCGACTCTGGATTGTCCTGTGAACTTTAGGCAGGTCACCTACCTACTCTAAACTTCTGCCTCTGCCAAGTGGGGGAAATTATACCGAAAGTCCAGGATGCTTGTGAGGATTAAATGAGATAATGATAGAAAATAATAAAAGGACTTTATGGCAGGCTCTGTGCTACTCGCTTTACTTTTGAATTGTATGAATGGAAGGAATTGAAACACAAATAAATTGTACAAATGAGGAAACTAAGACACAGATTAGGTCATACGGCTTATTAGATAGCCGGATTAGAATCCAGGTCTGACTCCAAAACCTTTCATTTAACCATCTGCTATTAGGGTGTGATATTGAAAAAGTCATTTCCTCCAGGAGCCAAAAATCTAGGTGAGAGAGAGAAGAAATACTTTCCTTGCCTGCTTGCCGCCTGCCACACTTAGATTATCCAATAAAAGAACCGAGGGCGGGGGCCAGCCCGGTGACGCAACCGGTTAAGTAGGCGCGCTCCCCTTCCGCGCAGCCGGGGGTTAGCAGGTTCGGATCCCAGGTATGCATGACGCACCGCTTAAGCCATGCTGTGGCGGCGTCCCATATAAAGTAGAGGAAGATGGACACGGAGTTAGCTCAGGGCCTATCTTCCTCCAAGAAAAAAGGGGAGGATTGGCATCGGATGTTACCTCAGGGCTAGTCCCCTCATAAAAAAATTTTTAAAAAAAGAACACTGGGACCTGCTCAGGTGCCTGCAGCACTCCTAACTGCTCCCACAGTTCACCTGGCAAACTCCTCCTACTTTGTCAAGGAACAACTCAAGTATCATTCCCTTTGCAAAGCATCTCCCGACCTCCCCAAGTCAGTCACACACTCTCCTCTTCTTTTTAACATTTCTTCCCTACCTTCTGAAGTCATTATCACCTTAATGACTGTTTACATCTGTCTACCCCTCTAGACTGAGAGCTCCTCAATGGCAAAGACTGTTTCTGATATATTTCCATATCCTCAGACCCTAGTATGTGGTATGTACTCAATAAAGGCCTTAGTTTCTTTCTTTTTTTTTATTTTATTTTATTTATTTTTTTTCCCCCAAAGCCCCAGTAGATAGTTGTATGTCACAGCTGCACATCCTTCTAGTTGCTGTATGTGGACGCGGCCTCAGCATGGCCGGAGAAGCGGTGCCTCGGAGCGCACCCGGGATCCACACCGGGGATCCGAACCCCCGGGCCGCCAGCAGCGGAGCGCTCCCACTTAACCGCTAAGCCACGGGGCCGGCCCATGGCCTTAGTTTCTGCCTGTGTTAATCGTAACACAGCCTACACTTTCTCACGCTGCCATCTTCAGTCAGACTAACCAACCAGTCACTTGGAACTCTCATCTTTACAGGCTTGGCATATATGCCACCTACTTCAAGCAGCCTTCCAGGAACTCCCACCTCACCTCTTAGTTGTTCTGATACGATCCTCATTATACTCTGCCTTGCTTCTAAGAGTTAGTTGAGGGCTTTTCGGTACCCCACTAAACTGTAAAATCCTTGAGGACAGGGGGATGACTCACTACTATATCCTTCTCACAGCTTAGACTAGCATAGAGTAGGCTTCAATAATGTTTTTGCCCGCCGGCCCCGTGGCTTAGCGGTTAAGTGCGTGGGCTCCGCTACTGGCGGCCCAGGTTCCGATCCCGGGCCCGCACCAACACACCGCTTCTCCGGCCATGCTGAGGCTGTGTTCCACATACAGCAACTAGAAGGATGTACAACAATCTACTGGGGCTTGGGGGGCGGGGGAAGGAGGAGGATTGGTAATAGATGTTAGCTCAGAGCCGGTCTTCCTCAGCAAAAAAGAGGAGGATTAGCTTGGATGTTAGCTCAGGGCTGATCTTCCTCCCAAAAAAAAAATAATAATAATGTTTTTGCCAAGAATTGGTCTTCCTTTCTCAGTCATGGTAGCTTCCCACAACAACAAACCACAACTCTATCAGGCCCTAACCCGTTTCCATTATCATAGCAGTCCCCACTTGACGTACCATGAGGGCCAACTGAACTAGGCCCAGGATGGAGTTAGCCCCACCCAAGTTTTTAGACCTTTGCCACCACAGGCAAACCATGCCAGAAATGCCGCCAGAACCCCATGACTCTACTTAGACCCCTTTTACAAGGTCCAGCCACGAAGAGCCAGACATGCAGGTCTGGTGAGCAACCACTTGACCTTGGCGTCTTTTTGCTGTTATTCTTTTTAACTCAAGGGAGAAGGGGAGATACTGTTTTAAATTACTCCACCTTGGTACATTTATCACCTGTAACCACAACTGATGTTTCTACTTGACTTTTCTATTTTAGATTATCACATTTGAGCTTCACAACAACACTGAAAGGTAGTAATCATCATACCCACTTTACAGATAAGGTAACTGAAGGTCATAGAGGTTAAGTGATTTGCCCAAGGTTATACAGCTAATAGTCAAAGCAGTATAGTGTAGTGGAATAAACAAGGCTTAGACAACAGAAACATCCAGGTTCCAATCCCGGCTGTACCGTTTACCAGCTGTACAACCTTAGGGTTGTTGTGAGGATGAATGAGATAACATATATGAAAATACCTAAAGATGTAGATACACGAATTTAGTTAAGAAATCCGAAAGTCATGGAATAAATTGCTAATGGAGTACAAATTCACTTGCTATTCAAGGAGACTCCTCCAAACCATATGAGATACAAGATATTACTCTTGGGTGAATAGAGGGAGTCCCTGGTGTACAGAGGTTCCTAGAAAGGCAGTGTGGGGTAGTAAGGAGAATATTGGAGTCACTTAGTGTATGATCTCAGACAAACCCTTTAACCCATTTGAACTTCAGTTTCTGATGTGTAAAAATGAACAAATCATTGTGGAAAATGTTGAGGAAATATAAGAAATTGTTATTGTTATAATTATTGTGTGATGTAAAGTTAAAAACAAGTTGTATTTATACAATATTGCTTTTCACAGTTTATAGATGTTTTTACATACAACATCTAGTACAACTCGTGGAGTCAAATAGGTACTTGATAAAAGTCTGTTGAACTGAACTGAATGTATAGTCTCATGCGTAGCTATTTTTTGGATCCTCATTTTATCCCCGTTTCACAGATAAGAAAACCAAGGAACAAATATTTTATAAATAACTTAAGTAAGGGCCACTTAAAGCAGGTTTGGGCCTTGCTGAAAATAATAGTAATGATAATCAGACTCCTCAGCAAGAGAAGACTAGCTAAAAATCATTATATGGGAATTGCCCCAGGCCCCCTTCTAGACCCCCAATAATTTGTACTGGCTTCTTTCTCTGCTCATTGGTTCTGGTTTAAATTAGAAACTTAACATGTAGTGGGGGATGGGAGTGATGGTCCAATCTCCCAAAAAGGCCTAGACCTTCTGGAACTGAAGTTTTTTTAATGACACACCAATGACAGATTGCAAATGCATGTCCCAGATCTCATCAAAGCACTGGGTCATATCCCAAATCTAGTTTGAGAGAGTAAAATGTAGCTAATAGAAGATATGTTATGATCTAATTCATTATAACAAGAATGAGCTTCACGAAGCAGAGGAAAATGACTCACCTGTTTTTTCTAGGGCAATTTAATGTCTCTGGGTCTCTAAGCCTCATATTCCTCATGTGTACATTGGAGATGATAATACCTTGTAAGGATGGTGTAAGGACTAGAAATCATGCATAAGTGTCCTGTCATAGAGCCTGGCCTGGAATAGATGTTCAATAAGTGGTAGTTATAAGGACACCATTCTTCTAGATCAACATTTAACTCTCTACCCCTCAGACAACTCTCCAATTGCTAAGTCAGTTGTGCAGATACATTGGCTATAAGAAAGGAGTGCCTTGAACAGCTGACACACACATCCCTGTCATTGGAAAGGTAGATGTTCCCTACGTAAGTAAAGTTGTATCTGATGACTTAAATCTGGATACTGATAACCACCACTAGCTGCTTTCATATGTGTTATTTCATTTAATCCTCCTGACAACCCTATAGGGATTATTATTAATTTTGTTTTACAGAAGAGGAATTTGTCCAAATTCATAGTCTCAAGGCTAGGAATTATACACAGATCTGACTCAGATGTGCTTTTTGCTAGGGCATGTTGCTAGAGTCCTACAGACGTTGATCACCCCCACGAAGACTTGATAAAATGGTGCTTTGGACCAGGGAAAGCTGAAGATGAGGTTCTGGATTTCTAATAACCCTAAATGCAAAGATGATCCTGAAGAGGAGAACTTAGATCATGAACAGCTTGGTCAACAGCCTGTCTTTCCATCTTTCTATCCTGCTCTAACTCCCACTCCCTCTCCCAACCTACCCTTATGGGAAACCACGGCTACTTTTATTTCTTTATTTTCCAACTTTTGGAGGTGGCTGTCATATCAGCTCTTTATGAACACTACATGTCTGTGATGTCAGCATTTAGAAATGCAGGATGATTAATTGAAACTATGGAAAAAAAACAACTGTGAAGAGCTGTCTGAATATACAAAGAACCAGTTTATTTGCATGAGACTTTGAGAAAGGCCTTCCACATAAATGGTGCTAAGCTCCCAAAAAAAAAAAATGATACTACAATTGTAATGGTAATCTGGAGTTCATGCTTCCAAGCTGCTGGTTTCATAAATATAGCCCATTATTGTTCATGTTTGCCCGGGGCAGAAAGAATATGTGAGGCTGCACAATAATAACAATTGTGCTGCACAAATAACTGTCCTTGTGCCAGGGACTGAAAAGAACAAGCAGTAAGAGATTTTTAAATGCCACACACACCCAGGGTGTGATAGGACAGTTCAAAATTGTCGTCATCACTAATTTTTTAGGGCAACAGGGTGTCTTGGGAAGAGCCTGAATTTAGATCTGGGAAGGCCCAGCTCGGTCCAGTCTTGGCTCTGCAACTTCCTGGTTTTGTGACCTTGGACAAGTCAATGAACTATACCAAGCCATCGTTTCCTCTCCTATAAACTGACGGTAATAATAGCACCTACCTGATAATGCTATTATGATGATTAAATGAGGTTTCATGTGAAAGCAGTTAGTCTGATACTTGACACACAGCAGATACTAGGTAAGCGTTAGCTCCTTTTTTCCTACTGGAGAATATTTAGGTTTAAGAAGACAGAAATAAAACAGGAATCGTTTTTAAAGATCTTCAGTCATTTACCAAAGCCTACTCTAATGGTTTTTTGAAAAAAAATTTATTCACCCATTAGTAATATTTATTGAGCTCTATAGAACAAGGGAGATTATTACATTTATGGCCCAAAAGTTTCATTGGCTTCTACTGAGCAAGCAAATGCAGTTTTACACTTGTCCTATTTTCTTTCCTTTTCCCTTTATTTATTTATTTTTCTTTCCTTATGAAGGGTCCTGGAAGCTATAAGAAACCAAAAGAGCACCATGGGAAAGAAAATATTTGTACTCAAGGCTGTAGGTCCTTTCATCTGCAGATTTCAAAGCATTGTCTCCATCACTAATTACTAGCCCTGCTTAACATGTGGGAATGCTGAGACACCATCAAATTAAGAAGCTTGCCCTAGATCACAAGGCAAGTCAGTGGATGGGCTACAGAAAGAACAAAGCTGTCCTGTTTGCCAGCCTCAGGCTCTAAAGTAGGACACATGAGAGTCAACAGAGAGGATTCAAGTAAAGAGGAGGAAAGTTTGGGGAATTCTGATTCTGTATCTTTGAATCATTGTGGTGACAAGAGCATGGGCTTTAGAGTCAAATTTGACTTCAAATCTCAGCTCAGCTCCTTATTGACTCTGTAACCTCAGTCAAATCATAAATTGTCTTAGTTTCCTTCTCTGTAAAATGGGGATTTTAATTCTTACTTCTAAGGCTTTGGGGAAGGTTAAATGATGAAACTTTTGTGAAAGAGCCTAGCACAGTGTCTAGCGCTTAGCAGGTTCATGTAGTCGGAGAAAACTAAGACACCATACACCCACATAATGACAAATAGACAACTCTTTCAGGCAAAGATTTTCTAAGCCATAATCACAGTTGTGTCTCAGTTTAAAATGATGACTGTATTGAACATCTCATAACACAAATAGAGGGTGCCTTGTTCATCGGTTTTCTTCCTTGATTCTGTGCTTTCTTTTATAGCCCAAGCCAAACCTATCGACAAGTTTTGTTGGCTCAACCTCTAATATATATCCGAAATTCCAATTCTATTTTCAAAATATATTCCAGATCTGACTATTTCTCACTATCTTCACTACCACCATCATCTTTCTCCTAGACCACTGCTAAAGCTCCTTAACTAACCTCCCTAATTCCGCGTTTGTCCCTACATCTATTCTCCTTATCATGGACAGAGTGATCTTTTTATTTTTATTTTTATTTTTTTGTGAGGAAGATCAGCCCTGTGCTAACATCTGCCAATCCTCCGCTTTTTTTGCTGAGGAAGACTGGCCCTGAGCTAACATCCGTGTCCATCTTCCTCCACTTTATATGGGACACCGCCACAGCATGGCTTGCCAAGCAGTGTGTCGGTGCGCACCCGGGATCCCAACCAGTGAACCCCGGGCCACCACAGCAGAGTGTGCACACTTAACCGCTTGCACCACCGGCCGGCCCCCCAGAGTGATCTTTTTAAAACACGAATCGGATCTTATCATTTCCCTGTTTAAAACCCACCAGGGACTTCTCATCAAACTCCTGACCGTCACCTACAATGGGGCCAGGTCTTTCCAGGTAAAGCATGTGTCAGCAAAGCAAGAAGAGCAAGTATGTTCAGGGCATGTTGAGATGTTTGGTGGAATGGAGTATGGTGGGGATGGTAGAGGAAGGAACTAGCAGAGAAGGATGGAGGAAGTGTTAGGAAATACCCAGAGGCAATCACCGCTGGGCCAGAAGAGGCTCAGAGAAGTGTGTCTGTCTGGAGATTCTCAGAGATGCAAAATCACCCTGGAAGCAAAGGGGACCATTATTGTTTTGTGTTGATGGCATTTTCAAATCTAGGGGCCTTGATTTTTAAAAAGCACAGTCAGGAATCTATTTTTCCCTCTCAAAAGAAGGTTGGGTTTATAGTCCAGGAACCCTAACATCAGGACAGCAGTTAAGAGGATGGGCTTTGGAATCAGCCAAATTTGAGATTGAATCGGGGTCCTCCACTTATAAGCTATAACACCATGGACTAGTTATTAAAAGTCTTTGAGTCTCAGTTTTATGCAAACTACATCAGAGTGATTAAGAAAATTAAATGGATAATGATTATAAAGCACTTTGCCCAGTGTCTGGCACATGGGAAGAAGTGCTCAACAAATGTGGACTACCACATTATGGTTATGACAATAATGTGTAAGGATTTGACTATCTTTATAACTGCCCCGTGTTCATTAGCTTTACTAATAAACACTGTCTGTGTCTCTCTCCTAACAGATATTTGAAGTAAATCTGTCAAATTTTAAACATCTGTGGAGACTGTCCCAATTCACGGCAACATTTGGCACTGAAAGATACAAAAAAGGGCATGTACTTGCTCTCGAAGTACTAACCACTCTATCCCCCAGTCCAGAAAATCAAAGTATGTAAATAGAAGAGTAGCATCATGTTTGCATTTAACTGTCTATGAATGTAATTATACACCCTCAGTATGCAGTGTTTAAAGAAAGGGTTTTTTGTTGTCATTTTCAATATTGTCTCTATATGCAAGCCAAGGATTTCAGCTGATGCTCAACCAAAGAAGCAAGGATTTGACCTAAGGCTGAAGAAAAAATTGGCTATGTTGACCTTATGCAGACACAATGTATTTCTGTATTATACTGAATAACTTCAAGAATTGTTCAGGGATAATTTTGACAATATACAATTTTTGACTTACTGACCGTCAAGCTTAACCTCAAGTAAGATACAACCGTTCTATTTGCAAAATTATACATTATAAGTAGGTAAGATGAAGTAAGTAAATGGTTAAAAGCATGATTTAGTGTCAAACAGGCTTGGGTTCAAATCCTGTCTCTGCCCCTGGGAACTTGGGCAAATTGCTTAACCGCTCTGTCCTTCATGTGTGAAATGAGGATGCTAATCCTCACTTCACTGAGCAGTTGTAAGGATGAAATGATGGTAATTTATATAAAGTTTTTAGTACCATGCTAAGTGTACAACAAGCATTCAAAGAGCTACATTTTTTTTGTAATTTTTGCTACATCAAAATGTAGTGGAGTCGGGAAAATCCTCAACCTTGAAGAACTGGATTCAAGAAAACCAATTGTGGGCCGGCCCCATGGCTTAGCAGTTAAGTGCGTGCACTCTGCTGCTGGCGGCCTGGGCTTGGATCCCGGGCGCACACCGACGCACCGCTTCTCTGGCCATGCTGAGGCTGAGTCCCACATACAGCAACTAGAAGGCTGTGCAACTATGACATACAACTATCTACTGGGGCTTTGGGGGGAAAAATAAATAAATAAAGTTAAAAAAAAAAAAAGAAAACCAATTGTTTTTGAAAGGTTATAGGGGCCGGCCCTGTGGTGTAGGGGTTAAGTGCACACGCTCCGCTGCTGGCAGCCTGGGTTCAGATCCTGGACGTGCACTGACACACTGCTTGTCAGGCCATGCTCTGCCGGCGTCCCATATAAAAAAAAAAAAAAGTGGAGGAAGATGGGCATGGATGTTAGCTCAGGGCCAGTCTTCCTCGACAAAAAGAGGAGGATTGGCATGGATGTTAGCTCAGGGCTGATCTTCCTCACACACACACTAAATAAATAAATAAATTTGAAAAAAAAAAAGAAAAGCTATAGATCTGAAATTTTATATAAAACAAATTATCCCTATAATTAAATGTCCACCCAAAGGCTATTGTGAAAATTTTTTTTATTATTTAACAGAGAAGATTCTGATTCAAAGATGCAATATTACATTCAAAGATACAATAATTATCTCAGTCCCATAATGGAACACTAAACAACATCCTGCAACTCCTAGCCTAGCGGGCTTATTTTCAGACTACTCATTAGGATTCCCAAGGACAAGTTTATTGAAGAATGGGACTTATAAAGAACGTATCAATGGGCTTCTTTCTATTAATTAATTCCTTCAACGTGTAAGTTTTTAGTACATACTATGCCCCAAGCACTCTGCAAGGCAGAGGAGTCACAAAAGTGAAAAAGACGTAGTCCCCACCCTCAAGAAGCAAAAAGTCTAGAAGTCAGACAAGTAAAATGGCAGTTACAAATACCATGTAATAAAGTTAAAAGAATAAGATCCCAGTGATGTGGAAACACTGGAGGAACACAACATCTGCACTATGGGATAAGGGGAGGCTTCCTAGTAGGAGCTATGTGTAAGCTGAGACCTGAAGCATGAGTAGAAATTACCTTGGTGAAGCAAGGGATGGAGGACGGATGGAGAAAGGAGTGTATCAGGCAGCAGGAACAACGTGCACAAAGGCCCAGAAGCAAAAGAGAGCAAGCAGCTGGGAAGAGTATCGTATGTAATTCAGTTGGGCTAGATTTTAGCTTAGAAGGGTGCAAGGCTAGGGTGAGATGCAACCTGGCCTCATAAGCTAATAAGAAATGAGGTCTATTTTAAGGGCAATATGGAGTCATTGAAAGGTTCCAAAGGAGAGAAATAAAAATCCAGAATTGTGTTTTAGAAATTTCACTCTCTTCAACATTGTACTGGAGGTTCTAGCTAGGGCAATTAGGGAAGAAAAAGAAATAAAAGGCATCCAAATTGGAAAGGAAGAAGTAAAACTATTTTTATTCACAGATGAGATTATCTTGTATATGTAGAAAATCCCAAAGAAACAACAAAAGAATCTATTAGAATAAAAAGATTCAGCAAGTTTGCAAGATACAAGATCAATATACAAAAATTTCTATACAGTAGCAATGACGAATCTGAAAATGAAATTAAGGAAACAATTTTTTTTTACAATAGCATCAAAAAGAAAAAGTACTTAAGAATAAATTTAACAGGGCCGGCCCCGTGGCTTAGTGGTTAAGTGCGCGCGCTCCGCTGCTGGCGGCCCGGGTTCGGATCCCGGGCGCGCACCAACGCACCGCTTCTCTGGCCATGCTGAGGCCGCGTCCCACATACAGCAACTAGAAGGATGTGCAACTACGACATACAACTATCTACTGGGGCTTTGGGGAAAAAGAAACAAATAAATAAAATTATAAAAAAAAAAGAATAAATTTAACAAAAGAAGTATAAGACTTGTAACTGAAAACTACAAAACATCATTGAAAGAAATTAAAGAAGATCTAAATAAATGGAAAGACTTCTCATGTTCATGAATTAGAAAACAAGTTTGAGATGGCAGACTCCCCAAATTGATCTACAGATTCAATGCAATCCCTATCAGAATCCCAGCTAACTTCTTTGTAGAAATTGACAAGCTGATTCTAAAATTCCTATGGAAGTGCAGGGGACTCAGAATAGCCAATCTTGAAAATGAAGAACAGAACTGGAGGACTTA